TCACCAGACCTGAACCCCATAGAGAATCTATGGGGTATTGTCAAGAGGAAAATGAGAAACAAGAGACCAAAAAATGCAGATGAGCTGAAGGCCACTGTCAAAGAAACCTGGGCTTCCATACCACCTCAGCAGTGCCACAAACTGATCACCTTCTAATTTGTTGAGATAGTGAATTGGTGGATTTTTGAGCCAAAATCATCACAATTAAAAGAACCAAAGACTTAAACTACTTCAGTCTGTGTGCATTGAATTTATTTAATACACGAGTTTCACAATTTGAGTTGAATTACTGAAATAAATAAACTTTTCCATGACATTCTAATTTATTGAGATGCACCTGTAAACTTGTCAAATCATCAAAACCAACAACATTGTATGTTAGACCCTGTTCCATTTAAGCTACTAAAAGAGGTGCTTCCAGAAGTCATAGATCCTCTTCTGAATATTATTAATTCATCAATGTCTTTAGGATATGTCCCTAAAACCTTCAAATTGGCTGTTATTAAGCCTCTCATAAAAAAAAAAACACAACTTGATCCTAGAGAATTAGTTAATTACAGGCCGATCTCAAATCTCCCTTTTCTGTCAAAAATTCTAGAAAAGGCCGTATGATTTTTCACTACACTATTATCGTGGGGAGAAAAATCATACATCGCGATACCTATAGAAGTCTATATATGGGAGTAGCTGTTAAAGATGTTTAGACAAGCCCTTCATAAAGCAAACAAAACAAGCCCTGCAAATTAATAAAAGAACAGGTTATAAAGACACTTCACATTTAATAGCATTTGATGATTTGTTAATTGCATTTAATATATTATACTTTCAATCAAACATTTGCATTTGGTCTTTATGCATGTTTTAGCCTGAGTTTTTGTTGCATTTACAATGTTATGACCAGCAGGCATCACCAGTGTGTGGTGTTTTGAGTGATTCGAAACAGTGAATCATTTTGCAAAGCAAATGGTTCATTTGATTTAAAGCTTCGAAAAAGTTTGTTTCTCTCATCATATAACCATGTATTTTTACCCCAAACTCGAATTATAGTGTCAATCAAGTTTTTTAATAACTTCTTTCTGTGAACTGATGAGGCTTCTATTCAGTATTCTACACAATGCTAAAGGCTATGTCGATTAGCATTGAATTATAAATAAACATTATTCTTATGAAAAATGCCAGAGATTACTTGAACACAAGTAAACCATAATGTTGCAATCGTGTGTTAATTATCTTCACGTTTCATCAAACATTTATTTCTGCATTTTATTCAGTTACAGCGATAGCTGGATGCCTTTGTCCATATAAGGAATTTCCTGGAAAGTCATTTGTTTTATTACTCCTAAGAGTCTCCCTCATGAACTTCATGTGCAATGGCACCCTCTGGCCTCAGGTATGAATGAAACAAATTACTCATGAGTGTTTAGCGCTGTGTACTTTTTGAAATATTATGGTTAGCGCTAATACCGTTATATCATGACACCCCTAATTAACATAACAATATTTCATTTTTTTTTAAATATCACGATTATCGTCAATATATACAACTTATATCGCGACACCCCTACTTCATGTGAAGTGGTTGGTTTCCCGTGATTTCTCCTACATGTTTGTTTTGCTTTATAATAATGTCACAGCCACAATTTTGAGAAGGTTTTAATAGACTGGTTTGACGAGGTTATCCCCAGTTTCTCTGAAGCTCCTGAATCTCTGCTGGTTCCATCCAGCTCTCCAGAATCTCCTACCTCTCCTGAGTCTCCACTGGTTCCACCCAGCTCATGTTCTCCTTGTTCCCTCATCTCCACTGTAGCCTGTCATCCCACTGGCTCCACCGGGCTCCCTCATCCCACCGGCTCCGCCTTGGCCACGGGATTCCACTCCTCTGTTTTTTTCTCATCCCTCAGGCTCCAGGTGTGTTCGACTTTACATGGCACTGACTCAGCCGGCGCAGCTTTTTCAGAGCGACAGCAGGAGCACTGATGACGACACAGCTGTTAAACGATTGGCCAAATTCACCATATGGCAATGATGATGTGTGTTTTGGGTTTATTCTAACATCTTCAATTCCAATACTGCTCACAAATCTGTTTTTAGAACAGTAAAAGCTTTTTTTACTGTAGTCGCAATGTTATATTGAGTCACGTTTATCAAAAAAACACTGATAAAAGCATATATACCACCACTTTATTGGTATTTAAATAGTATATGATTATGTTGAACTGTATTCTTGAACAGATGGCGCTGTATTAAGCAGTATATAAAAAGTGTTTCAGTTGCTCATGAAAACATTTCTGAAACGTCTATGTTTGACAAATATTGCATTTATTCTCTTCATCTGTGATAGAGTATGCAAACACCGCGAGTGCATCACTACAGGGAGCAGTGTCTGACTTGACGCCTACGCTTTCAATTACAGCCCCGACTGCAAGCGGCTACTCTCGCCGATCGGTCTGCGAAGCGCTGCATGAAGTCGAACACACCTTTCATCTGGCTCCTCCT